CCCAAAACCCCAAAACCCCAAAACCCCAAAACCCCAAAACCCCAAAACCCCTATGGCAGTTTGCTGCAATTTAGAGGACAAAAATTGATAAATAAATGACCTTAGAGATTATTCTAGAATCTTTAAAATAGATATAAATTTGAGAATTCATTGATATTTTAATAATTCATTATTTTTAAAACTAAACATCAAAGATATGGGCTACAAACTCTACTATTTCGATATCTACGGAAGAGCCGAATCAATCAGATTCCTCCTCAATCACGCTAAGGCTGAATTCGAAGATGTCAGAATCAACGGTGAGCAATTGGCTGAGTTAAAGGCTGAGGGTAAACTTGAGTTCGGTCAAGTCCCAATGCTCGAACACGATGGTAAACACCTCGTTCAATCATGGTCAATCCTAAGATACCTCGGTAAAGTCCACGGATACTACCCAGAGACCTCAGAAGAGGCATGGGCTGTTGACTCACTCGTTGATGCTGTTGAAGATCACCTCGCCAAGTACTTCAGAGCTGTTTTCGAAAAGGACGAAGAGAGAAAGAAGACTCTCATTGCTGAATACCTCGCATGGCTCCCAGTTTGGGTTGCTGCCATTCAAAAGAGAATTGCTGCCAACTCAGATCCACACTTCGCTGTTGGAAACAAGAGAACCATTGCTGATTTCGCCCTCGCAGTGATCGCATTCAATTTCATTAACAACGAAGCCAGCCCATTACATGCTGAAACTTCCCCATTGACCAAGAAAGAAGACCACCCAGTCCTCACTACCTACCTGACCCAACTTCATGAAGAGCTCAAGGATTATCTCACCTCAAGACCACAACCAAGACCATACTGAGGTGATCAGAGTATCCATAGCTTTATTTTATCTTATTTCCCTTGAATAAATATTGGTTTAACACTAATTACGTGTCATTATTTGAAGACTATATCTTTCATTTTTGCATTCCTAACGACGAATTAAGATTTCACTTTATCTTATAGTCTGGGGTTTTGGGGTTTTGGGGTTTTGGGGTTTTGGGGTTTTGGGG